TAAAATGTACAGCTGAAACTTAATGGATTTCGTTAACCAATGTCACCATAAAATAATTAAAAAAAAAAAAAGAGGAATACCCCCAGTACTGATGAATATAGATCTAAAGAAAACAGTAAAAACCACCCACTATACCACATTCACATACCTTCGTCGAAGTGGAATTTCTCCAAGTACCCTTTCATCCTGAGACCCACCGTCTGAACCCTAGTTCTGAGATTTAAGAGCCGCGGTTCTTCATGTGTCCTGCTGTAGATGAGGGCTATAACATGCTGAAAAGTTGATACAGCAATCACAGTAGGTTATGCTGTAACCTGAGGTTCTCAAAAATCAGGTCCTTGATTGAGGTCCTTTAAAAAATTGATACAATAACACTTTGAATTCACATGAAGAGCCAACATCACCTGATCCTCATTACAGGTGAATCAAGGGGACTAAGTTCTGGCTAATGTCACAGGACTCAGAAATGACAGGGTCAGGGCTGCAGGTCAGATTTTCCCTGAGCCCTGGTTGTCATGGTGATGCCCTCTTTACCTGAAATCTTTTCAGAGTTGTGGATTTCTCTGAAGCTATTTCAGAGAATGGTTTCAGTAAATGACTGTACTTTGGCTAATTTTTTACACAAATCTGTGTCCAAACAGGCCTAACTTCCACACCTTAGACTTACTCCTGGTATAAAAAGGCATTTTCTTGTGGCCCCAGGAATTCCCTTTCTGGAATGGGGAATGATGAAATATCCAATTTAGTTCTTACTCTACTGCATTCCTGTTCAAAGTTAGTAAGGACTGTATGATACTTCACTTCTAAATATCTCATTCTCTATCTCATTGACATTAGTTAACTAAATTCTTGAAGCTTAGACCTCATAGGTGAAAGGTATAAAGTTGCAAAGCTTATCTATTTAAATAGATGGATTGTTTCTGTTTTGAAGAAATGTGAGAGTACCATGGTAATATCAAATAAACTTCCAGTTTGAAATCATCAGTACCAAATATTGGACCCATAGACTTTCAAGCCCATCGAAACACTCCAAAGCAACAATGTAAAACAGAAAGTGGCAGAGACATTCTCCACATCTGCCCTTTGAATCATTCTAAAAATAATAGCAATAACCACATCTCTTCATGTTAGATACCTCTTCTCTGTAATTCTCAATAAGTAAATTTACATTGAAAAATGGTAGTACCACATATAAACACACCTAAAAGATTGGAAGGAAACGTTATCGTCCTCCACTCATTCTTCAAGTATTTTAGAAAATCCCACTCTTTACAATAGCAGTGACTTTGAAAAACATTTGTTGACACATCCTTCATACACACACATTTGTTTTTAATGAAAACATCTTTGTTCAAGCATGTGAGTATAACCAATATTTATTGAGCAATGACTCTGCCAAGCACTCCCTTTATGTCATTTACATCGCTCACTTTATTTAATCCTCTTAGGTAGGTACCAGTCCCCATTTTATAGCTAGGAAATCTAAGTGTTTTAGGTAATCTGTCCAAGGCCACTCAGCAATAAGCAGCAGAGCCAGACTTGAATCCAGAGTTTCACTCTGAAGCCCATACTCTTAGCCACTTCTTGAAGCATTCTTATGACTTCATATCAGAACAATGGGTAATTTAAAAAGAGTCACCATTTCCCCTTTGTTGTTCAGCCTCTTTCCTCCTTGTCTCTACCTCCACTTTCCTTCCTGCTTCCTCTCAGGCTAACTCCTACCTTCGAATTTCCTCAGCCACAGCCAAGAACCTGGCCTCACTCCAGGCCCCAGTAGGCAATGGTGCAAGTTAGATAGAGGTGGAGAGTGTTGGGAACTCCAAGCATATGGCCATTGGCAGGAAACAACAGAACTGCATGGGAGGTGTGAGGTTTACCTACATGTCCCCGGTGAACTCCCAGACTTGAGTAAGACAACATTCCCTGACTCTTCCCATGACACATTTATTTTCATGGCTATGTGGAAATATGTGAGGAATGCTCAGGTTGTCTGAGGGAAATGTCGAATTTAGCAGTGCAAACTCAGAGCAAGGTGGACAACTGCTAATCTAAGCTTAATACTTATTCAGTTTCATTTGCACAGAGTTGGAAATTTTGGACACTTGCAGGTACGACCTGCTTCATTAAATCATATTTCTGCAGGGTTACCAGGAACCGAAAAGTGTTGACTTTTGGTGACTCTGTTTAATGGTTTCTCTAGGGGAAGAAATAGGAGATCCTTTATAAGAAAAAGCTCTTAATGTTGGTTTAAGTAATTAAATTAGTAGATATGCTGAGTTTATAAGATGCTACATCCAGGGATTGAGATGGAAAAGGAGCTAGAATATTTCTGCATATGTTTCTGGAAGAATGTGAATGGCATCATCTGCCAGTAGTAGCAGGCAGCAAGTGCTAGAATCAGCCAAACGGCACTTCTACCTTCAAACATCATGACCTTGAGCCAGTTACTTATTTCTTGAAATCTCAGCTTCTCTGTAAAGAGATAAAGACATTAATGTTCATTGCCCAGGGTTGATGTAAAGATCAAATGACATCATGTCATTAAAAGTGCCTAGAACAGGCACTGGCAGAGTAGGCATTTAATAAATGGTAGTTTTATTTAATTTTATGTCATTTTTTTAAGGGAGGGGCAAATGTAAAGACTTGTTATTAAGAAATAAAGAGACAGAAACCATAAATATGTGGCTGCAGTTTTTCCTTCACTAAGAAAATTGTTCACCAAAGCTGTATTTTCAGTGAAAATGGGAGACTGCTCTTTTGTAATACTTCTTCCACCAAAAATTCAACTTTCAGTAATCAGACACTTTGAAGTTTGGCTGCTCAACTTATGGCTGCTCTGTATATTACTGATACATCCATATTTACAACATAAAATTTAAGAAAACGAAGAAAATCAAAGTCAACAGGGAAATGCTGATGATCACATGTAAATGTTAGACTCTACAGCCTATCGAAAAAGAAATCATCGTCTCTAAAGATGAGAAATAAAGGGCTTACAAAAAGAAATACCAGTAAACCGGACATTCTATACAATAAAGAACATTTATGAAGAAAGCATATATGAAAAAAATTATATTTTCCTCTTCCCAAAATTATCTGAGATTTCATTTTCAGCATTATTTCCAACTTGTTTTGTAAGATTTTTTTTTAAAAAAGGGTCACCACTGCTTTGCTCAACATTTCCCTTTGGGTAGCATGGTCAATCTATTGACAAAAGAAGCGATTTGAGGGGCTCACCAAGGAAATACATAAACTGACAGCTGTAATGCATGGCAGTCCAACGATAAGTAATTTGCAACAGAACAGTCCCAGAACGCTCCCGGAAAGTTAATTCAAATGGGAAACTCTGATAAAAATGTTCTTTGCCCGAGGTTACCAGGCTGGTAGCTGTACAAGCATCTCACTGCCCAAGGGGCTGAAAGGCATTTTCCATCTAAAGGATGCAATGGCTGGGAAGGAGTTCAGGCCACAGTGACTGTCAGAAAGCTCAGGTTACAGCAAAACCTCCAAAGTCATTTCAAGAACATAATCAGAGCTCTCTTCTGCACAGTCAGGGCAGTGGTAAGTTCCTAGAACCAATTTTTGTTGCTGAGTTCAGCATTAAACAATCCCTGAAAAAGCTCAGGTCAGCCTGGCTGAATAAACAAGCAATTTTTACCATAGAGATTCAACCACAGCTAAGTGTTGTTCTGTTTCACCAAAAATGCATGCATATACCTAAGTCTACCCTCCACTTTAAAAAATACTATAGTTGGCCAACTTTCTAGAATTCTCATGGGTTTGATAATGTTCAAGCAATGACAGTAAAGTCTCCACTATCCTTTTCCTCAAATACATAAAGACATCAAGCACAGAGTAGTTTCATAAAAATTATCTGTATTAATACAAATTGTATTATCTCTATCAATGTTAAAAAATTAAGTGTTTAGTTGAGATCTATCTTGATTAGCCCAGGCTCACAGTATACTGGAACAAAAAGTTAGAGATTCCCAAAAACTTGCATTATGGCACAAATCCCATTTTAAAGAACAAATCCTTAAAGGTTCTGTGAGAACAGATGTTTTGAGAAAAATATTTGTTTTAAGAATACCATTTTTTGTTAATTTCAGATTTTATGTTCATCCTTTGCCATCACTACTTATGTAGATTTCTTTCTACTAAAATTTAGTTGGGGTATTTTTGAAAGACCTCAAACTGGCTTCTCAAGGTATCCTTTCTCAAGGCACCCACAGAGAGAAAAACCAAACAGTCAGAGACAGAGGAAACTCTTATAGGGGCAGTTATTTGTTTCCTGAGCAAACCCACTTCCTTCTTCAAACATTTCCTTCTTTCCACCAATATGTTTTTGAAATTAGTATAGAAATCTTGCAAAATATACTGGTGGGCCTAGTGCCTGGAATCTGGACAAATGCTAATGGCCATGCCATTTTTAATATCATCACTGTAGTGTTGTATAATGAGAATCTCAAATGAAGTGTCACTTCAGTAGTACAGAAGGCTCCCTGTAATGTCAATTGATGTTTTAGCAAAAGAATCCAAATCATTATGAGCTAGAGCTATGCACTGAGAAAACAAATGTTATTGAAGTAAAAAACTGAATGTAAAAAAAAATTTCATGGCTCCTAACTACTCCATTATGAAAAACTATGGCATCTTTCATAAGAAGGAAATCATTTTTTTTAATTTAATCTTTCAAACCTTAAGCAAACTGTAATGAGTTGTTGGGTTTCTTTACACTAAGTATAACCTTGGAGATAAAACTGATAGTCTCATAATTATTAAAGTTATGTATTTTATTAGAAATGTATCTTATCAATGATTATTGTCTTGACTTTACCTGAAGCAGATAAAGTTGAACAGAAAACTGGTTATGACGATTCTTCTGTGCTAATAAATACAAAATATAATAAAAAAGTAAAATTGGTCTTTACCTAAATATAAATAAAAAGTTTTATTTATTTATCAGCAAAGAATGATACCAGAAAAACAGACAAAAGGAATAAAGTCTCTTAAAATGTTTATTTTTGTCAGAATAATTGACAATTTTCTGTTAAGTCTTTTGGTTTATTATAATAAGCATTTCCCCCCTTGAAAAATCCATTCAAAACATCTCAATCTTTGAGGTAAAGAACTTTAACTAAAAAAACCATCCTGATTTTTTTAAAGAAATAAATTCTTAAAATTCTTTCAGCTTGATAAATAGAAATAATCTCTTCTTACTCTACCCTCGTGAACAAAAAAGTACTTTATACAGCAAAGTATCCAGCCACTTACTGGCAAACAAAGGTGAGAACTATTCATTTACATATTCTACTCAAACACTGTGCAATACTGCCGTGTTTATATAGACTTTTTTTTTTTTTTTTTTTTTAAACAGTTACCAACACTCTTCTGGCAAAGACAGGGTTTTGGAATGGCAAAAGCAACAGAAGTTTTATCTCTTAAAGCTGTGGAAGGGAATTAATCTGAGTCATCTTCATCGAGATATTCCTCAGCATTGCTTAATGTTCGAACGGCATCTAAAAAAAAAAAAGAAACGGAGAGAAAGTAAAAGAGAGAAATTACAAATTGTTTGGATTTCGTTTTCACTTTTAAAACTCCTGACGATTCAACAAATTGCCATCTACTCTCAGACTCAGGGATTGTACTTTACCCAAGGATCTTTTTGAACTTTTGCTTTTCAGCCTCACTGTTGAGTTTCTGCTTCCATGGAGGCTGACAAATACATTTGTCTGCACATTCCTTAGATACACAGAAAAGCAAAGCACATGTTACTAAGTAAGGTACCATTATTCTATCTCACACAAAATGCACCATGACCAGTGTGGAACACACCAGATGCCCCTCCACTCTGACAACCGTGCTTCCAACCTCCTCTTCCAGTGACAAGTGCACACATGTTGGTCAGTCAACAGCCTGCGGCCTGACCTAAAGCCAAGGTCACTGGGTAGAAAGATAACTAACGAGGGGGAAAAAAGGAAGAGAACGAAAGCACCAAAGCTTCAGTTTCATTTTAGAAAACACACAAAAAATAAAGTATAACCAGAAGCAAAAGACTGAAATGAAAAATAAATAAGTTTTGAAATAGAAAGAGCTGAACCCCATCAAATGTAAAATCAACCTTGAACGCGGTACAAAGGAAAGACATTTGATCTTTAACTGTTCACCTATTCAACTCTCTAGTCAAATATCTATAGCAGATTTTGTGGTATTTGAGGTATTCTTTGTCCTTCAGTGGTTACTTCTGCACTTTGTTTTAACCTCATTTCTTCTGTTAGTAAGAGAAAGATGACTTGCCATAGTGCAAATTCTGACCAAATAAAATCCAGAGACAGAAAAAATCCAAGCAAATAAATTCCTTCTGCTTCCTTCCTTTCAAGGACTGCTCTGAGGCAGTTTCTCTGAAAACTTCTCATATGGACAAATGCTGAATGAAGAGCTGTATCTCTTCACAGCCTGGCTTGCAGCATGACCAGCATGGTAACGGATCTCACAGTAGCGCTTCCCATCCTCCTCTACTTCACTTTCATTTCTCCTCAACCTCGCTGCCCTGGACTTACACGTTCCACAAATGTTATCAAAGTGAAAAACTGAATGCAAACAAACAAAAAAAATCATGGCTCCTAACTACTCCATTATGAAAAAACTATGACAAACGAAGCACTAGCACTTAAGACAGAGACAGAGACAAATAATAAATAAATGGTGGAGGGATAAACACAGTAACAGGGATAAATCTCATAGAAATAATGTTAAGTGAAAGAAGTTAGACACAAAAAAGTACATACTGTTTGATTCCATTTATATCAAGTCTGAGAACAGGAAAAACTAATCTATGGTGAGAGAAGCAAGGATGCTGAGGGAGGCTTCTGGAGTATGGGAAATATTCTCTATCTTAATCTGGGTTGTGGCAAGTAAGTGTAAGCACAATAAAAAAAATCATCTACCTGTACACTTAGGAATTATGTACTTTACCTAATGTAAATTATACCCCAATTTTTAAAAGTTGGAAAAAATTTAAGGGTTCGACCCTCAAACATGTCCCTGAACTCACCCCTATATCCCAAAGTTACACTTCATGGAATTACAAGTGAATTGTTTTGTCTCTATAAGAAATCCAAGCTGTGCTTTAAAAAGTGGACGCAATATCAGAATATACCTTTTCCAGCTTAGAGTACATGCTGGCAATTAACTATATGGCCCAATATTCAAATTCTTATTCTAACTAGGATCAAAAGACAAATTAAAACTTTTTAAACTGGATGATTAGGGAAACGAAGCAAGGAAAAAAAAACAAAAACAGAGAAAAAGATAACATGAAAATTGAAATATAAAAATTCATTTCCTCGCCCTATGTGCCAGGCCCCAAGATTACCTCCTTAATGAATCCATTATCTAATCAGCACAAATTTAGAAGGGCAGGCTCAGGACACTTGGAGTAAACAAAGAAATAGAGTACTGAATCTCCCAGCCCTATTTTAAAAGACCACAGAAAGGTGAGGGATAAAGAGAAGAGTTTGCCATCTGCCTCTCCCAGCTGCAGTTGCTCATGTGGAGGTTTCTGGTTGCAGCTCTCCGGAGTCTGAATGGATTTAGTATTTTTCTTGCCTATCACAATCAGGTTCATACTATGCATGAGATTCTGATAACCTTCAGCTCATAAACCTAATTCCTCAGTCAGGACATTCTGAAGATACCCATATAGCAACAGGAAGTCAGTGGCAGAGAAAGGAAGTTAGGCCACAGTCCTGACACAACCAAGGCAGCAAGGAGTAGGAGGTCCACCTCAAGTAAATGTGTCTCTCCCACATGGCTACAGTCAAAATGTAGCTGGGAGCACCACTTAGCTGGTAAATACTTTCTCACTCAGTAGAACCTATTCTACTCATGCATGAGGATTCATGGCTTAAATAATTAAGGAATCCTAAACTTCTTAATGGTTTACACTATATCTGAACTGACGTTAAAAGAAATAAGAATCTGAAACAAACACATATCTGGAATAAAGTACAAAAAAGAACAATAGATTGGTGAGGAGGGCATGATGGGATTTGATGATAGGTGAGGAGGATAATTCTGAGAAGCTTCCTTGATGACCATGAAGAGAAGGGGACTGTGTGATGTTTTTGACTGAAACAGGAAACCCGGGGACTGACTTTATTTTGTTGCTTCTGCTAAGAATGGAATATGGGACAGCATAACATTGCCTCTTCTCATAAATCAAAGGATACCTGAGGGAGAAATAAGTTTTCCCAGGGTTCAAAACGTAATGGAAAATTGATCCGAATGATAAGAATAGAAAATCAGTATCTCATTACACAAGTTCAAGAACTCTGAAAATGATAATACCCTCAAGTTGAAATAAAAACAAATGCACTTAGTCTCTATAATGGAAATTTCTCAAAAGTTGTTTTGGTGATTCTCCAGCAACATGAATCAGTCTAAAGTTTAGACTATAAAGCAATACTAAGAAGGATTAGAATGATTAATAGCAATGCTAAAGACATGTAGAAAATGAGTCCTCCTTTATACTAGTTCCTTTCTAAAAAATAGTAAAAAAAAATATCAATTATTGGTTTATTTTTCAAAGTGATATTACAGTGCCAAATCATCTTCTACCTTTCCTTTTTCTACATTTCTGGGTTTCTCACGGACCAGGAGGTTCATGGTGAATGACAAAGGAAAAAAATAGGAGGATGGGAAGAAGAGTTCAAAGCATATCTTTCTAGCATTTCTTTCAGGAATCACTACATTAGAATGACTCTGGGGAGACACATTCAATAGACTAAAAAACATCCGCTCTCTGAATAGTAATCATGAATGCTTCAAGTGTGTTTAATACCTTTGCTTTCATACCTTTTCAAAACAACCACACAAACTTTTCATTTTTTTCAAATCTATTCTCCCACATCAATAGCTATTTTTATCTTTAAAAATGTGCACCTAAACTCTATCTTTAAAACACCCATAGTACTATGAATAAATGCCGAAATATCTACAAAGTCTAGAATAATTTTGATTATAGTTTAGTGATTCCTTCATCTAAAATAGAAACAAAAAAAATAAAATAAAAAAATAATAAAATAGAAACAAAATACAATCGTGGAGATGTTACATGCTTAATTTAAAAAATATTTATAGAAAACCACTCATCAAAATATGTCTGAAGAAGAGATGGAGACCATGGTTCTCTGATAAGGATTGTAATGGAAAGCAAAGTGACTAGAATTTGATTGTAAGAAACAAAGGAAATACATAAATATTAAGAAAAAATCAATGTCTCGTCAAATGTGTTTGCATAAAGGTATGCTTCTGTGTCAGAGGTTCTGATTTAGACCAAGAATATAAAATCTAACTTCGAAATCACCTGAAGAGTTAATCAAGAAATTTTTTTCCCAAATGCTAAATTGATAAATCTTAGTCATGGTGGCATCATAGGAGAGAGAAGAGTTAAAACCAATTACCTGTTCCCTGTTTCTTTTTCAGGAGAGTCGCACAGGCAGCATTAGTAGCCATGTCCAGGGCCAGCTTCTTCTCGTTGTTTCTTAAGTCTGTTCTAGCACCTTCCCCAACACGAGAAAAGTAAATTAGATGTTTTTGAAGACTTTATAGTAGCAGCCAATCTTCTCCACCAAAACTAATCACTTTCGACAAAACTGGAGAACCTTTCTGGCCCAGAAGTAAGCTTTTTCAAAGCAGAAAAAGCTTTCTCAAAACAGTAATAGTGTATTTGGCATCTTTAATCGGGGAGGTTGTTGCTACACCTGTGATAATTATGCAGAATCAAAATATTACCTTTCCCTTTGAGTCCCTATAGAATTTCATGTGAACTTTTCAATGAGGAGTTTACCGTTGCTATGGTAAATCCCAGATCAGTTAGACCCCAGTAGCTATATGTGCCTCAGCATGAGTGTTTGGAGATTAAATTCAATATGTCCTCTGCTGCTGCTTCTGTTCAAGAAGGTCTTTAGAAAAGAACGTGCAGGTTGAGCTAGAGGGATTAATATTTTATCTGTAAGTATACTCTCATGCAAAATAGCAGAATAGTAACATAATAAAACCCAGAGGCAAATTCATAGTTCCCGTACCCCATCTTCTACTCACTTTTTTCCTTGTCTTCATTGTGTTAAAAATTTTATCAGAATTCATGAATACATTCTCATTGTTAAAGATTAAAAAATACAGAAGTATGCTGAACAAAAGTACATGTCCCATTATAGCTCCCATTTTCCCTGTCCTTCCCCATTTTCAACCTTCTCCAGAGATAACCTTTCCCAAAAAGTGGACATCAGTTTTGTCTCCCTTATGAGCATTAATGTATTAACAGACACATATGTCTGTTAATCATACTAAATACATTGGTCTGTAATTTGATTTTTTTAATTGATGTACAATTGACATATAAAATTATATTAGTTTCAAGTGTACAACATAATGATTTGATCGATATATGTATATATTGTGAAATGACTACAATAAGTCTAATTAAAATCCTTCATCATACAGTTACAAATTTTTTTTAATGCAATGAGAACTTTTAAGATCTATTCTCTTAGCAATTTTCAAATATGCAATACAATATTAACTATAGTTACTGTGCTGTAAGTTAGATCCCTATGACTTATTTTATAACTGGAAGTTTATACCTTTTGACCTCAAGATTTTTTTTAACTCAACAATATATGATGATACTCCTTAGTAGTACGCATACTTATAACTCAATCTATTTAAATGTTTATAAGTATCCCATTTGGTAGCTGTTCCAAAAATTCATTTAATCACTCCTCTACTGAGAGGCACTTAGGCTGTTCCTAATTCTCACTATCACAAACAATACTGCCATGAATCTCTTGAACATCTTTGTTTATATGTATTTCTGAAGGATGATTTTCTAGAAGTGGTACTGAAATATAAAAATATGTACATTTTTAATTCTGTTAGCTATTGTCAGACTGCTTTCCAGGAAGGCTTTACCAGTTTATACTTTCTGCCACAATATACGAGAGTACCATTTTCTTTGCAACCACATCCTCTTCAACAAACAAAAAATAAATGTCCTAAAACTTAAAGGCACAAAAATATTGAGTCAAAAAGAATAGTATATTTAATTAGGAATATAGCAATCTCGTGTGAAAATTTTTGTCCTAAGCAGAATTAGATCTATCCACACTTAGGATTGTATGGAAAACCTCATTTTTTCATTGTGCTACAGTTCAAAAATCCTAAGGGTTAATAGTTCTGTGAATAATCATATCTTACACTAAATTATACTTTAGTACTCATACACATGATTTCTGTTAGGACAGGAAAAGTTCAGAGACAGCTATGCTAGAGAAGAAACACAACCATTTCCTGTGTCCTCCTCAACCAGCGCTGCCCAATAGAAATACAATGTGAGTCATATATGAATTTTCAATTTTCTAGTGGCTACATTTTCTAAAAGTTAAATTCTTTTTAATAATATATTTTATTTTACTCAGCATACCTGAAGTGTTATCACTTCATCATATAACCATTATAAAAATTATTGTGATATTTTATGTTTTTCACTAAGTCTTTGAAATCTGGAGTTCATTTTACACTTACAGCACATCGCAATTCAGACCAGCCTAATTTCAAGGGCTCAGGAGCACACATGGCCAGTGGTTGCCTTAGCAGATAGCACACCTCTTGATGTAACCCTCTATAAGGGTTAATTAATATTTGTGGGACAAATGGATGGATGAATGGACAGATGGTCCATAATTTCACTGTTCCCACTGACTTGTGTAAAAACAGGGAATCAAGGGATCTTATTTCATTCTCTATACATCTAGCACCTGTTCAGCTCAAAGCAGGAAACTGCAGCTACAGCTGTCTTTCTTATTTATCAAGACTTTCTTGTGAGAGTGGGAGCCTCTTTACTCATACAGCTTTCTCAGAGAGGATCTCCTCTGCACAAATACAAACACGCACACATACCCCTTCCTTCTAAAGCCCTTTAGGCCTGCAGAAATGTACATGTTCTTACTAAAATATATGTATTTTTAAAGCTTACCAAGGTTTTAATTTAAAACTAAAAACTTACACAAATCACAATAATTTCATCTTATCATAACAACTCTGATTCAGGCAGAGTAGAGGTTAAAATTCCACTTTGAACATAAGAAGCCTAAGGAGCCTATTATTCTTCCTACTTTTTCAAACAGTATAATTGGATGTAGCCTATTTTTCAGGGTAATCAAAGACCAGATAAACTCAGCACACACTTTACCTTTTTCTAAAAGCAACTGGACAATATCTGCATAACCCTTCCAGGCAGCAGCATGCAAAGCTGTGTCTCCCAACTTGTTCTATGGTGATAAAAAGAGAAAGTAGCATTTTTAAAAGAGTATGGATTGAAAACAAATATAAATTTAGGCTTACTCTAAGTAAATTTGAAATAAAAATAATGTTATAAAATCGTATAAAATTCCAAAGAGGGAAAGGAGATTCAAGGGATGAAAGATGAGTCATTTTGGGAGATGAAATAGGATGGAGGAATAGAAACTGCTGTGGCAGAGCACAAGTGGAAGTGCAGATGCCTGCAAAGACACCAGGAGGAAACAAACAGATTTGCCCCCACAGAAACCTAACATAAATTAGGAACTGAAGATGCCTGGAGACACTGAAGCAAGAATGAGGCATAGGGGTAAAAACAAGGGTACTGGATGAAAGTGTTTATAAGGAGTAACCCCAGATCACCTGCCTCTCTCTTTGCTGCCAGATGACCCAGGACAGATGGTAGAATTACCCTGTCGAGAAATTAAACAGATAGTTTCCAAGCTCATGGACACTTGGTACTAGATAAGGTGGCAATAAGGCCAGAAACTAAAAGCAGGGAGTAAGTGGGAAACCTACAAACTGAACAGTAAGACTGCTCTCCCAGCTGCCTTTTCCTCCCCTGCCCCAGGGTGTATAATCTAGCATGTACCCCCAGGCAGCAGGCTGGAGGTTACTTCTCTGGTGAAGCTCAGCAGCACCACACGCAGAGGAGGGAATAAGTATACATACTGGTATATGGGTTCAACCCAGCAAAACAAACAGGGCCTCGACACTTCACCCTATAAAGAAAACCAACAGCCAACAAGCCCCGCAAGCACACAGAGATTCCAATAAGATTTAAACATGAATAGATAATTAAGACACTAGGTATTCAAAGAAAGCCTCCTATATTTGAGAAAAGACAAAAACAAAATAAATGAATCTCCAAGGAAAAAGACACGGTACCGTGAATAGCAGAAAATGTTTTCAAAAGCTATAATTAACATATCGGAGATATAAGATGATATTGCATAACAAAACAAGAAAAAGATGCTATTTAAAAGTAATAATCAGAATAAAAGAGCAAATTTGGGGTACACAGAATTCTAAGATGGCCCCCAAGACTCCTGCCTGCTGGTACACACTCCCTGTATAATTCCCTCCCCTTGAGTGTGGATGAGACCAGTGAATATAACAGAATATCATTCCCATAATTAGGTTTCCAATCAGCTGATGTTAAGTTCATCAAAAGGAGATTATACATTATTTACAATAGCCAAGATATGGAGGCAACCTGGGTGTACATCAATGTATGAATGAATAAAGAGGTGATACATACATACAATGGAATATTACTCAGCCATAAAAAAAATTTTTTAAATAATGAAATCTTGTCATCTGCAACAACATAGATGGACCCAGAGAGTATCATGCTGAGTGGAATAAATCAGATATAGAAAGACAATTGCCATATAATTTCACTTACATGTGAAATCTAAAGAAGAAAATCAAAAAACAAAACAGAAACAAACTCATAGATACAGAGAACATTTTGAGGGTTGCCAGATGGGAGGTGGGGATGAAGACAGTGGGTGAAAAAGGAGAAGGGATTAAGAAATATAAATTGGTAGTTACAAAAGTCACGAAGATGTAAGGTATAACATAAGGAAATATATACATATAGTCAATAATATTGTAATAACTATGTACGCTGTCAGATGGATATTAGATTGATTGGGGTGATCACTTCCTAAGTTATATAAATGTCTAATTGCTATGTTGTACACCTGAAACTAATATAATATTGTATGCCAACAATAATTGAAACAAGTATTTTAAAAAATAATTTTTAAAAAACAGGGGGGAAAAAAAAAGGAGATTATACTGGGTGGGCCTGACCTAATCGGCTGTGCCTTTTCCAGAAAAAAAAAAAAGATATAGTCAGAGACACACTGTCATGCTGGTCTTGAGGAAGAAAGCAAATAGCCATGTTTTAAAATATCAATAGAGAAGGGTGGTCTCTCAAAGCTGAGGGCCACATTATTACATGTACAAAACTCAATTTTCCTGGCAACCTGAATGGGCTTGGAATAGGATATGAGCTTCAGATGAGAACCCTGCTCCAGCCAATACCTTGATTGCAGCCTGTGAGACCTGAGCAGAGAACCCCATCTATGCCATGCCCATAATTCTGGCCTACATAAAGTATAAGGTTAATGGGTATTGTTTTAGGCTGCTATGTTTGTGGTAACTTGTTATGTAGCAATAGAAAACTAATGCAGACATATGGGGACTTAAAAAAGTAACCAAAATAAAACACAAAGATAAAGGCAAGAAAAATCTCAGAAAAGCTAAGAAAATTGGAGATTCAACCTAAGAGGTCCAACATAACTAATAGGAATTCAGAAGCAAAGAATAAAGAAAATGGTCAAACAACTGGCTATAAAGACTATAAAAGAAATAATACTTTCCATGCTGAGAAAGTTCACCATCATTACTGGGAAAAGACAAACACGGAAGCCCATCATCATGAAATCTTAGAATACCAAAGCTAGAGTAAAGACTCCAACTGAGAGAAAAAGCAGATCACGCACACAAAAAATGGGAACCAAAATGACATCAGACCTCTCAAGAGCAAGCCTAGAAACTAGAATACCATGGAGTCGTGCCTGCAAAAATCCTGAAGGAAATAACTTCAACCTAGAATTCAACCTAGCCAAATAATTGATCCCAACCTCCCATTTCTTGGGAATCTACTTGAAGATATTTTTCAACAAATGGAAGACACAAGATGCAGAAAAGTGAAGACAACACAGGAGAGAGGTGAAAGGTGCTGTTTTTCCCAGGGAAACAGCAAAGAGAAGCAGAGACAAAATTGTTTAGATTAGAGAATGAGGATGGAAGGCTTCAAGAAGTATGATTCCAGGGAGAAAAAGGAAAGCAATTGATTATGTTATACATTTTGGAAAAGTATATGAAGGGAATATGAAACAATATAGGAGTCTTTGTGAGAGTGAGACACACACACACACACACACACCAGCTAAATAAAAGTCAGTAAGTATAAAAACAAAAAGTTCTACACATAACCAAAAACTATGATGTGATACATTGAGAAGACCAGAGGAGGAAAAGCTGGGTACTAGGGTGCTGGAAGATGAGAGCTGGACGGATGATAAACTTAAATCTTCACCTACCAGACAGGATGCCAAAATACATATGAAGATGATAAATTATGAGAATGCTCTATGAACATTTTCCTTAGTAAGAAAGAGCTAAAAGCCAAAAGTGATGCATGAGGAGAAATGCAGTAGGCATTTTGGGCTTTACACAATTTGAACTTTAGTACAATAGTAATTTAACTACGTGCTTGTGATCTTTTGATTTAAGATTTTATGAAAGATAATAAATAAGAAAAGGTAGGTCAAGATAGTAAGATATGACTGTTCACGCCCATAAACCACACAAAGAGAATGACTTCCCCATAAGCAATCTCACCTGTTGGTTCAGTTCAATGTTTGGTTGAGTAAATAGCATTTCTACTATATCTGAAATTCAAATAGAAAAGATAATTTTTAAGAATGAAAAGTAAAAGTCTGACAAGACTATACAGAATAAGTTTTCTTTTTTCCAGAATAAGTTTTAAAAAGAGGATTTTTTAGAAAAATCTTCAAGAAAATTCTTAAAACAAATTTTTCAAAATGTATGTAAATAAATAGATTTAGGTAATTTTTTCTCAAATAATTTGGATTTTGCATTTTCACATGACATCTTTTACAGGAATATTTTTAATGATACTATGATACTTAATATTTATATCACTGACTTGTGTTTGTTAGCTAAAATAAGATGAGCTTCTTTTGGGAGACAACCATTAATTTACCTTTGGCTATGCTATTTAATTTGTTGAGTTCTTTTATTTCTGATTGTTGTTGAGATTAGTGTGTGTGTGTGTGTGTGTGTGTGTGTGTGTGTGTGTGTGTGTTATAGAGAGAGGTAGAAAGTGAGTGTGGTAGATTTTTGGCCAGGCTGAAATACATCTAGAAATCTCATTTATCATTTTTACTACTGATTATAACAGAAAGTTATCAACTAAATCATTACTCATGCAAATACTGTCTTCTCCTGAATCTAACAGTTTGCATTAAAATTCAAATGGAAAATCATGAAAGCATATCGTGGGAAAGGCTAAGCTAGAGGAGTCGATTCTGTCCCTTTCTTTGTAAGATTAGATAGCGGGGTTTGTTTTTATATTGCTGTTCTTTTCCTGTAACCTTTCTAAGCCTGAGAGAGAAAAGGAAGCTTCCACTTTTTCAAGTGAAAGAGGTCCATGTAGAGAGGCTGATGGATCACATTCTACCTACTATTCTACAAAGCTTCCAGGAACAAGGCTTCTGGCTGATGTTCTAAAGCAGGGGTCCCCAACCCCTGGGCCACGGACCGATACTGGTCCGTGACATGTTAGGAACTGGGCCCCATAGCAGGAGTTGACCAATAGGCAAACAAGCAAAGCCTCTCCCCAGTGCCAGCATCACCACCTCAGCTCCACATCAGATCATCAGGCATTAGATTCTCATAGGAGCACCAGTCCTTGGTGCCAAAAAGGCTGGGAATCACTGTTCTAAAGGATTTGGGAAAAAAAAAAAGGATTTGAAAAGAATAACCAGGGTTTTTTTCATTTCTGTGAATCTGCTTCCCCT